ACTTCTATTAACCCTCTCCCCCTCTCCCCACCCGCATAGCGATACCACCTATAAAACCGCAACGTGCATTCGCACCCTGCGAGAGCAGACATCCGCTCGCGTAACTGCGCATCGCCCGGAGCCACACCTGCGAACTGTTACTTCGCAAGTTTTCACAGGACCGTATAATTTTCGAAACGAAATTACACCGAGGGAGGGGGCGGGACTTTCCCCCCTCGGTTTCCATCCGAATGGCTGAATTTTCGTCGTCTACGAGTTACGCGGGGAAGGGGTTGGATTTACATCATTTTCAATTATGGGCATTAAGCGTGATGCAGAGAGGGAGGGAGGAAGGAAGAGAGAAGGAAAATTGTGGTTCGATATTTAAATTCGATTTTCAATTTGATTCTCGAATTTTTTTGACGTATGATTTTTCTTATTTGCGAAGTAGTCGAGTAGTAAGGGAAAGGAGGAAACGAGAGGGAAGGAAAAATTGGTTGGTTTTTTTATTTAATTTTGGGGGAGATTGTTAAAAGATTGGTTTTATTAAATATTACGAAAATTGTGATTCGATATTTAATTTCGATATTAATAATTTAATTTTTGAGAGAAGGATTAATGAGTTGGAAAATTGTACAAAACAGGAATCGTGTTTCGAAATGATTTCATATTGTTTTGGATCATTTTCAATTGGAAATATTAATTGTGAACGGAGAATTGTTGTAATCAAGTTGTCTCGAATCGAATTTGAATAAAATAGATACATAGGATTGAGAATATAATTCATATTGATTGAAATGTGTTTCTAGTAACGAGAAAAAGTATGAACGAATTGTTAAGAAGTTTTAAATTAGGTAAGAGGGAATCGCCTGTGCGCATCTGGAACTTTGTTAAAGGAGTTAGCTGTGCGAGATAAAAAGAAAACAAAAAAAAAAAAAGAAAGAAAGAAAAAAAAAATATAAAAATCATCTCTGTAAATCATATCTGTAAGAAAAGTTTGATGACTTTCTCGAGGTACGATTTCGACGCGAAGTTAGGGAAAAGTCTTAGGGAATCGATATCAGCAAGCATGAAACTGGAAATATCATTACGTTACCTTAGCAACCTTTCCTTCGTTTCAAGTCAATATTTGAAGTAATATCAAGTTCGCTCGAAACTTAAAATTCCAATTGTAAATAGAATGAAAGAAAACAAGCATGCACGAGATTCTTTTCTATTTTTTTTATTTTAAATTTCAAAATTTTTAAATTCGATAATCGATATTACCTCGAGAAGTATCAAAATTAAATCATCTATGTACAATTATCTTATAATATCGTTGAGAAATTTAATATATCTTCTTATTTATTCGATAAAAAACACTTCAAAATTTTTTAATCCAATCCTCTCAAGTTCCATTAAATCTAATTATCTTAAAAAATATCCGAACAATACCAATATTACATTATAATATCACTACGAGCAATATTTCCAACGCCGAATACACGATACAAACATTCAACGACCTACAAATTACAAACGAGCGAAAAGAAAGTTCTATTAAAATTATAAACATTACGACAGTCGCGTTCGAGAGCCCGAACGATACGGACGTGCGCGGTCGATTAAATTTGTTAAATCATCGTTGTAACAAGAAAAAAAATACAATATCGAATAAAAATTTAATATAAAATCAATACAAAATTAAAATAGAAAATAAATCACTTCAAAAAGAAAGAAAAAACAACAAACGACGAAATCGTTTTTTTTCTCGCAATATTATTCGCAAAATTCAAGAATACATATATATATATATATATATATTATCTCACGATACCATCAATGGAGGATTAAATATCCTCCATCTTGAGAGACCCGAGAGACTCGAATGGAAAGACCTTAACGATCCCGGATAGGATAGATTTTCAATACACATCGATTCTCTTTCCTTCCTCTTCCCTCTCCCTCCTCTCTCTTCCTCTTTGTTTCGATCATTTTCCAGCCGCGATCGAATCTCAGCTACACTTCGATAATCCTCGCGGGATAAAAGTTGGCGGGTTAAAAGTGGCTAATGCCCGATGAAAAGTCTGAGAGGAGGGAAGAGGGGAGAGGCCTTCGAGAAAACGGCGAATCCGTGGATTAAGCTAATAGGAACCCCCGTGGAATTTATACCAGCCACGGCTTAAAAGTTCAATTTCTATTCGACTTGGGAAGGGAGAGATCGAAACGTCGATTCAATTACGATTAAAGGATTAAGCAAGATGCGTAAGACAGCCTTTTTCAGTTTTTTTTTACTTTTTTTTTATTTTTTTATTTTTTTTTTTTTTTTTTTTTTTTCTCTCTTCCCTCCCTTCATCTCTTTTGCTCCAGGCGGTCGAAAGTTAAAATATGCCTCGTCGAGGATACTCGAGCACTGCCTAGTCGGCTAAGTCAAGAGAGCATGATAATCCAACGAGGCTTTGATACTTGATTATCTCGCCGCTCCTTTTTTGCATCTTTCGTCATGAATTCTCGTGGTCGATGCTCGTGGTTGATATCTTTTTTTTTTTTTTTTCGAAAGATGTCTAGGGATGAGATTAAATTCTCTTTGAGTTTAGAATTTAATAATAAGTTTAAAAAAGTTTTCGATGTTATTTTTGATTAGTTATTGCAATAGGAATCAATTTTTTCCTTCGTTCTTTATATTTTAAACGTGATTTTTTTCGCAGTGTATACTAAGATGTTTTTTTTTTTGGATTGATTTGAAACGTTGAAAGAAAATTTTCAACCTTTTCGATAAGTTAGAAATAGAGTTAACTTCTCTTTTTCCACTCGCACGTTTTCTCTTCTTCTATTTTACTTCGTTCAGACAACCATTCCCAAAACATTCGATCACCCAATACCTTCGGTGGCCATATACCCTTTTTTCACCTTAATCTCGTCTCTTCTTCCACATATCTCAAACACATAAACATTCACGCCAACTTCTTGTTCCCACGGCTGTAATATACGTCCCTTTGGAGCTTTAACATTTCTCTAACTTAAATCACTTTTTTATTCTTTTCTTCTCGTAAACGTCGACAATATGTGAAATACGTGTAATATATATCAATTTAAAATAGTCTCGTTTGTTCTCCTATTTATAATTTACAATATCAGAATTATAGTTTTATTAACTATGAAACACGTATAATAAATATTCTACTTTTAATAGTTATATAAAACTATAATTTTCAACAAACAAAAATTTTCCAATTCTCGTACGAACGAAGAGAAATAATTGGTGATAAATTGAAGATTCAAATATCATCCTGTTATTTCTCGTATTTTCAAGATCTGTTCAACGTAATCCAATAAACCTGGCAAAGTTTAACTTGAATTCCAAGAATTCGTAGCCAGTTGGATGTCGCCATCCAACGAAGATTTATGAATTTCGGTAATTCGTCTTAAATTCTGGAAATGTTTCGTTCCCGGGTTCACACGTGCCTCATAAATCTTTTAACCTCCGACCGGTCCTTTCTGTTACAGGTTTGGAGGAAAGGGAGGACTGGCTGGGGCCACTTTGACGAACTTCCAACTGCAAACTCCGAAACGCCAAAGTTTCCAGAGGTTGAAGGGCGATAGTACGACCATCCACGATCTCAAAGACTTGCTCGAATCTATCCACAGTGTTTGTGATAAATGAAGAATATTCTCAATCCTCCTTCCTGTTACGCGATACTTCGAATTCGAACGCGTAACCGTTCATCACTATGCGTGGCGCGCAACGATGAAAAACTATCGTGTCGAGAGTATCCATCGAGCGAATGAAAAATTACCAATCCATAACTTCGACGTTAAAGTGTTCATTCTGAAACTTTGGAAAAAATACCGACTCTGTTTTTTTTTTTTTTTTTTTTTTTTTTTT